CCTTTTCCAATCATGGCACACATAAACCTTTCCCAGATTTCAGCGGCACACCAATATTCAAAAATTGATGTTAAAAAATCTTCATTGTTTTTATTAGTACCAACATTTTAAATTAAGATGTTTTTAAAAAGTTATATAACATAAAATAGTTTTCACTATTTAAGCCCAAATATCAATAGAACTAAAATTGAAGTCAACTATTTAAAGAAAACTGCTTCTTCACTCATTTGTTTTTTTCTTATTTGTGTACAGAAAATTAAATGCCTGTGTCCAGTTTAAGGGGGAAATTTATGATTAATATAAAAAAATACAATAAGAAACACACAGTTAAAATAGTATTTTGATACAAATAAAATCAGCCACTAACTGGGCCATCACTTACTTACTAATGACATGTTTTCATGTATGGTGTAGAATGCCCATATTTATTTCAACAAAATGAGCCCAAAAATAATAATAAAGCAAATCATTGTCCCATGTGTGAAAGTGTGTCTACACATTTTTTCTACACTTGGAGGAATTCTAGCATTCTAGCAGAACCTAGCATTCTTTTGCAGAACATGGTTGCAGTGCTCTGATATAGACTAATAGTAGACCAACTATAATTACTCTATGATACTATGGGCCTAAACTTCCATCTTGAAAATGAGCTGACCATGAGTTGACAGACTCATTCCTGATAATTTCAAAAAAAAAGAATTGGGCTTGTTGAAATTAGTAGCCTAATAATGAAGTTACAGCTTATTCTTGTAAAGACAAGTTAATTAATAGACAAAAACAACCTTTAATTTTTAACTTTAACGTAAAAGATAAAGGTAACAAATTCAATACTTGCAATTGTAGACCTAATTTCATAAAATTAAAGTCATTTATCAATTCAATATAAGACAGCCTTGCTAAATAAATATTTGGAAATTATAGTAAGCCTATTAAATATAAATATATTATTATCAATCAATTTATTTTATAACTTTTGATACAATTATATTATAATTATACAGTGACAGTAGTATTATCAAATTATAGGCCCCTATTTTATAAATCAAATTTAAAATGAAGTCTTTTATTGCACAACCACACCCTGCATCTAATATAGACTACTATATGTAGGCCTGCTATTTACACTTTCATGAATGAATAAGTTGACAAATTTTTGGGGCGGTACCGGTAAGGAAAGATTCGAGATTGGTCTACCTGTCCCACCGGGGCCCTCTCCATCATTAATCATTCTATGAATATGAAAATTTGAATTTAAATATTGTCAATCCTTACGGTTAGGTGGCCCTTTTCCAGATCCATTTGGCTCAGGGGGCCCTTTTCGAAGAAAAACATCACCATGTCTGCTCAACCATATACTGTGTATTCCAGAATCATAAATATCCTGAAAGAATTCCTGTTGTTGGGGCGATTCCTTAGTTAAGAAATTTGCACATTGATAACAAACTGCCCATGCTTGCTCCTCATTTATTGGGTTATTAAACACTTTTAAAATATCTACAAACGGCAATAATTCCATTTTTTATGATGTGTAATCCAAAAGAAACTGTAGTTATGACTCGATCATTCCTGGTAACGAAATACAACCCTACACTTCCATCACACTCCCCCCAGTTTGCCACACAGCTCCGTCGCGAAAGAAGCGGCAGAAGAATGTAACTCTCCCAACCCGGAAGTCTGCGGGGTTCAAATTTATTTAATTTTCATTTTCAGGGGCAGGCATGCAGATAAACTAAAAATTAATAACAAAAAGGGTAGCTCCCCTTTCAAAACTGCGACACTTTTTTTTTTTTTTTTTGGTTGGCTTCCGTTTTACAACTGTCTGAGTAACAAAAAGATTGTAACTATTAAACCAACTTTTTATTTTCTAAACCAAGAAAAATTAAAACGTATTGAAAATTACCCCCCTTTCAAAGCTGCGACACTTTTTTTTTTTTTTTTGGTTGGCTTCCGTTTTACAACTGTCTGAGTAACAAAAAGATTGTAACTATTAAACCAACATTCTATTTTCTAAACCAAGACAACTTAAAACGTATTGAAAATTGAATGGTAAGCTTAGAACAGAAAGCTTTATAACTCAATACGTAATAGAATTAAGCAACAGCAATAATTTTAAAAATTACTGTATTTTTTATAGTTAAAATCACCCTCCACAATTTTCAAAAAGTCTCAAACATGATAAAACAATATGGCTTGCTTAACCCTAAAAAATGTAATCACCTAAACTTTTATTTATACAACTCGAGCAAAGACCAGAGAAAAATAAAGACAATTAAAAGACAATTTATGTTTCAATATAGCCTTTTAGCATACTATGATTGCTTTCATGGTTTCATTTAAATATTTGACACATTTTTATCTCGATTACTCACAGGCACATATCTGTCACTTTAATGTTATCTACACCTCCATGTTCTGCATTTAAATGTGTTATAGGTTTTTTTTTTAAAGCTCAGTCTTGTCCCTACGTCTGTTTTTATATTCGTAAGAAGCGAAGGGAGGTCTAATAAGTTAGTTTTAAATTTTAAAAAAAAAAATTGTTATAGAAAATAATGTACATGTATATTATGGTTGTGGATATCATTTAGAATGGGAAAGTTCAAAGCAAAGGTGGATACATTTAAATGTTAATGGGGCGTGGGGCCATCACATTAGACGGTAGAGAAAGATTAATGAATTAAAGTTGATTAAATAGGCTTCCTGATTTCTTTCCGTTCCTCTGAGCTTAGCTTACGTGATGGACTTGTGTCCATTCCAGTGACGTCATTTGGGTAGGGCAGCGTGGGGCATTTGCCCCCCCCGCCCCCCTGAATTTGCAGGTTTTATTTAAATTGATGTGTACTGTGGCGCCTACAGTAATAAACATCTTAACAAGCCGACCAAGTTTTGGTTTTGGCACCCCCCCCCCCTTTAAAAAAAAGCCTTAATTGCTGCCCCTAGCCGATTCTTATTTATTTTTTCATCGTTCAGTTTTAGATAGCACACGTACACACATATATTATGTAAATTTGATTTATACTTTTATGAATGTTTTTTTGTTGTACTGATGAAGGCATTGTCCAAAAAGTTTGAATTCGTAGGCTATTCTGTGTAACCATAATTAAAGCTTAACTTACACTTAAATTGTTTTATTTACACGTGTTGTTTGTGTCTCATTAAATTACTTAAAAGCTCTATCGCAGTCCAACACATCCAACATCTTCATTTAGGGGCCGTCCATAAAGTATGTCACGCTATTTTTTAAAACTCTTTTTACCCCTTCTCTCTCCCCCCCCCCGCTGTCATAATCTGCCCCAAATCTAAGATCCACCCCACCCCCCTATAAATTAGATCACACTATCTAATTTTAAAAAAAATGTTTAAAATTTCAAGACTAATTAACATTTAATGTAAAACACAGCTCCCCTTTTAAAACTAATACATTTATAAAAGTGACATCTCCTGTCAGAGTACATACAAGACAACGGAAAGTTAAATATCACTGTCAATTTCAAGTTTTATGTGTATGATAAAAAAATGTGTGACGTGACATAAGGTCTTTACCCCTCCACCCCCGTCAAAAACTGTCTCTCTTTTTAGACCACACCCCCCCCCCCACACACTTTTCCCCCAACGCACGCTATATATATATATATATATATATATATACATATATATATATATATACATATATATTATATTTTATATATTTATTTTTTAAACTGTGACGTACTTTATGGACGGTCACTAAAGTGTAGGGTATCGTAAAATTAGAAGACAGAAACAGTCAAGTGGCTTGAACTGGGCCGAACGTTTCAACCTTGCACCCGCCGGCACGCCACTCCACTCCACGCCACGCCACGCCCCGACAGCCACAGTCATGGTAGTAATTATCCTGGGCTTGATCTAATGACAAGGCCACGCCGTCATTGATATAATTAACGCGATTACACGTGGGACGCGGTTGGGTTAAAGTATTAATTAGGTCAGCGGGCAACTCTGTTTGCCAAGTATTAAGAGTTGTTGTCGTTTTATACAGTGCTGAAATCCACCATTAGTTAACCATCTTGTTGGAATCATCCGTATTACTGTTACGCACCGTCGTATGGTTTGAGTAAATTTCATCTGCTTTAAGATCGTTTTTTTACAATACGTAACAAAGGACAAAAAACCAGTATGCAAAAAAAAAAAAAAAAATAAAAAAAAAAAAAAAAAAAAAAAAAAAAAAAAAAAAAAAAAAAAAAATAAAAAAAAAAACAAAATCGTATGGTTTGAGTAAATTTCATCTGCTTTAAGATCGTTTTTTAACAATACGTAACAAAGGAAAAAAAACCAGTATGAAAAAAAAAAAAAAATAATAAAATAATAAAATTCAAGAAAAAAAAAAAAAACCAAAGCTAGAGATATTAACAAAAAAGCAATTTTAATTATACTCTTAAATGTATACCAAGAATACAAAATCAAATAGACAGAAAGGAAAACTATATTGACTAACAGCAAGTGAGTAAGATACAAATATCTCATTACCCAGACACATAAAGAGCACCCTCTTGTAAGTATATTATGTCTCTTAAATGGCTGCGGAAAATAGGCTGTCATTCTCGGCTACCAAAGCTGCCGGTCCTGTGTATAGGGATTAAATCAGAACCATCTAGAAAAGACACTATCTCGGCTGCGAAATTGCCGCGATATTTAAAGGGAGAAAGTTGGAAGCCTCCAGAAAAGAAATTCTATCCATTTTATCACCTGATAGCATTCTTTGGAGGGAAAAAAATGATAAAATATGATAAAAGAATGATTTTGCTATTGGAAGTGCTACCCGAGACACACAAAAAGCGCACATATTATATTCATTGTGTAAAATTAAAAAAATGCACAGCCATTTCTATGTGGATAAAGAACGCTTCTGTGAGTTCTGTCTGTCTAATGTTAACCCACAAAACACTACTTGGCCAACACGAAATTATGACATATTTACATCTAGTATCCATATTTTTCACGTACAATTCCTCTCTTCTGCCACAGAGCGAGCTGCCATGCGGTTCTCACGTGGCGTCGTGAAACTGCCCGTCAAACAAATCTACCTGTACCTCGTGATTTTCTCCACCACTCTATACGTCTGCTTGCAGATCGCCAATCATCAAAACTCTAGGTCCCTCCCTCTGTGTCAATCAACCCATCGCGATGAATTTCCCGGGAGTGCGCATATCAGGACGCGGAAACACTCCGCGTGCACCCGGCTCGTGTACAGGAAGCCGAACGATTGCCCGGATTGTTTTCGACCCTACGTCCCAACCCTAAGCCGCCAGCTGAGGCAAGTGGACCCAAAGAACTGTTCTTCTAAGAAACAGCCCCAGTTCTTCCAGCACGTCCAAGAAGCACAACAGACACTGATAACAGATGCCGTGGTGTCGCCAACAGCCGCGTGCGGCAAAGCATGTCCGTACCTGATTGTCCTCGTTCCAACTTCCGCGGCTTCGACCTCCGATCGCAATATCATACGTGCCACGTGGGCGAGCGTCGCCAAAACGAGACTCTGGCCCTACGCGACGGTCAACGCCGACGTTCACGTCATCTTCGTCACGGCGTACCCGACGTCACTCCCGACCGACGATTTCAGTAAGGACGGCGTGCTGCCCGAGGATTTGAACGCACGCCCTTCGTTGATCAATCTGATGCCTTTGCGCAACGAGGCCGATCAACACGGGGATATCCTGTTCCTGGACATGGTGGATTCGACCCACAATCTTACATTGAAGCTGTTGTCTGGTTTCCTATGGGTCAAACTCCACTGCACTCGCACCAAGTTCGTGCTCAAGGCTGATATGGACACTTTTGTCAACATCCCACTCCTCTTGGATCTCCTCATCGCCAACGAAGGGGGTTTGCTGTCCTCCGTTATTGGCCACGCATGCTTCACATATTTAGAGAATCACATGGGTAAGTCAAGCGCAGATCCGTCGCTGCGTGGGTCGCGCGACCATTGCGGCTCCAAGCAGTGTTTCTTTCAAACAATGTCTTCGGAGGTGGGGTGAAAAAAAAGGAGGAGTGGGGCGTAAAGAAAAGGAATCTTGTCCCCTGGCGCCAAACAGTATAGCTACGCATGTAGAAGTGGTGTAGAAATATCAGTGGATAAGGTGATCCATACAGGTGTTAGCTTTTCAGTTAATGGAGTAGCGGCATAGTCAAACAACTGCAGAGTTTCTTTCGTGACAGGGAGCGCAGCAAACATTTTCCCACCCAGGTTGGCACCAATGTTCCCTTTTAGCTGCGTGGTTGCGCGACCGCGCAGCTATTTCACAGACGCCGCGCAGCTGTTTTGAGTGTCCGAGCAGCAAATTTCCATGCAAGTGTGTGTTTGCGTTTGTGGGTGGTCAAATTTTGCACACACAAAAATTGATACGGTAAAATTTTGCACACAACCGTATGATTTTGCACACGAACAGGCAAACCTAAGAGGGAACATTGGTTGGCACTAACACTAGCTACGCCACTAGGAGTGTATCAATCGACATCAATAATTGGCGATACTTTTTTTATTGAGAATAAGGGCACAACTCCTCCACAGAATTTTTTTTTATTATTTAAAAATAAAGAGGGGTTTTCTGCAGTATATTTAGAATTCAGACAGCCCAGTACCATAAATGAACTGAAATCATCCCGGTATGATGCTCCCCAAGGTAGACATTTGGCACAAGCCAAGGTTCAATCCGTGTAATGTCACAGTGATCGGCGAATGGGAAGGGGCCCAAAAGAAATTGAGGGTACCCAAGACTCTCGAAAAAAAAGTTAGGGCAGGGATCCCCTGAGAAATATTTGATGCATTCAAAATACAGGGATACATTTTGGCGCATAATTGATTTCGCTGGTTCTTTCAGACATTCTGGGTTAGGGCATTTAAGACTTTCGGGCGAGAGCGCCAAAATTAGAAATAATAATGAGCAGGGACATTTCTAACTCCACCCCAGCCAAACGTGAACTTAAGTCATTCCAGTAATGGCGCCCTTGGGGGTATCCTTTTTGCCCTAGCTTAGTCCTGCCCCTTAACTCTTTATAGTCCCCCAGAAAACTTTGATCACTTCAAAATGCAAGAGTGCATTTTAGCACATACTCGAATAATTTTGCTTTGCATCATTCAACACTTAATCGGAGAGACGCGTAAGAGATTGTAGTTAAATAGTTAGACGTCACTTGACCCCAGAGCCGCCGGTTTGGCCGTGCAACTCCTACAGCTGCTGGGAGCATCGGGCATTTTAGGTGGGGCTTAAAGTTGTGATGTGCGCACCTTTTTTTAAACAAGGACTAAACAAAAAAGAGGCATGGGGCCCCGAAAAGTAAAGCGACGGCTCTGCTTGACCTGCAAGTGTTATGCAATTTTTGTTTTGGTTATATTACTAAATAGTAATTTTTTTTGTTCTAAATTTAAACTATTTTTGGGGTAAACTGCTTAATTAATAAATGAGTTTTCAAAAAAAAAAAAAAAAAAAAATTGGTTCCATCATAAAAAGCTCTGCTAACACCATCTTATATTTTGAAAGATTGTTCTAAATTTAAAATATTTTTGGGGTAAAATACTTAATTAAAAAATGAGTTTTAAAAAAAAAAAAAAAAAAAAAATTGGTTCCATCATAAAAAGCTCTGCTAACACCATCTTATATTTTGAAAGCAAAAGAAAAGTAAACAAGTTTTTCTGAAGTCAAAGTGAAAATAATAATGTTTTATAGAAAGATCCATATATTTTTATGGTTTTTTTTATACTGGTATATGAATAGCATAAGTATATTAATAATATTTGAGATGTTCACAAAAGACGTCATATATTTATTAATGTGTGATTTTATTTGAGGGAAATCGTAAACAAATTTAATATATATTTCTCAATATTCCATCCATTCCTGTGGCGCTACAGCCCATGTAGCCCTCACCACTTCCTTCCACTCCGACCTAACTAATGCCTTTCTTTTTCCATGCTTGGACTTTCAGCTGTTGTAGATCTTTTTCCACATCATCCATCTATCTAAGCCTAGGTCTGCCTTTGAGCCTTTTCCCTCTGGGGTATTGGTGATGCACCCTCTTCGTTCCTCTGTCATTTGGCATTCTCTCTAAGTGTCCTTCCCAGCGTAGCCTGCCTCTTTTTATTTCTGCTACTATCGTAGGATCCTGATATAGACTGTACAATTCATGGTTGTTTCGTATTTTCCATCCATATTCATCCTTTCTTGGTCCATATTTTCCATCCATATTCATCCTTTCTTGGTCCATATATTTGCCTGAGAACTTACCTCTCCCATGTGTTTAATAGGTTTTCTGCTGTTTTTGTTAGGTTCCAAGTTTCACTTGCATATGTTACAATTGGTCTGATTACAGTTTTATGAATAGTTTTCTTTGTTTCTCTTGAAAATGTTTTTACTTTTGAGTATTTTCTGACTACTGAAGAATGCCCTGTTTCCGGCTGATATTCTTTATTTTATTTCTGTTAGTAATTCGTTTCTTTCATTTAATAAAGATCCTAGGTATTTGAATTGATTTACTTTTTCAAAAGTCTGGTTTCTAATTTTAATTGCTTCATCTGTTTGTTCCTCTCTTATCATTGTCATGTATTTTGTTTTTTGTTTGTTAGCTTCCAGCCCTGCTGGTAGTGATGCGTCTTTAATACTTTTTGATATGTCCTTAATACTTTTCTCTAGCAGTGCTATGTCATCAGCATATGCCAGATACTGAAGTGGTTGGTTGTAGAGTGTGCCCGTTGGTTGTGGGTTTTGAGTTTCCCTCATAAAGTTTCCTTTTATCGTTCTTCGATTGTCAATGTGTATGTTTCTCATAACTCTTTCTCTCTCTCTAATGTAGGTTAAAAAGCAAACAAGACAGTGAGTCTCCCTGTCTTATGCCCCGTCTAATCTGAAATTCCCTTTAATATTCTCCTTAAATCTTGATTTTGCTTTTTGCGTTGTTTTGTGTTACATGTATTAGTCTTGTCAGTTTGTTGGGTATCCCAAAATCCTGCAGAGTCTCATATAGATATTTTCTTCTGATGCTGTCATGGGCCATTTTATAGTCCACATAGAGTTGATGTACTGGTATATTAAATTCATAGGATTTCTCTAATAGGCATCTGATGGTGCAAATCTGATCAGTCGTTTATCTGTTAGACCTGAATCCCCATTGGTAATCACCTAGTATTTCTTCAGTGTAAGGGTGTAGTCTTTTTGCAATAAGCTTCGTCAGTATTTTGTATGTAACATTTAATAGAGAGATTCCTCTGTAGTTTGTGCACTGAAGTTTGGAGCATTTCTTGTGTATTGGGGTTATTAATGCTGTTTCCCATTCTGTTGGGATTTTCTCTTCTTGCCAAATTTTAGTTATAAGTTTATGTAGCTGACTGTGTAATTGTGTAATTCTTTTCCTCCATATTTAATCAGTTCTGCTGTGATATGGTCTTGTCCGGGATCTTTGTGATTTTTCATGTAATTAATTACATCTTTGGTTTCTTCGAGGGTTTGGAATTGTATAAAAGGGTCTGGTCCTCCCTGTGGGGGTTGGTAATCTTCTTCTTGTCTATTGTCTGCATTCAGTATGTCCTCAAAATATTCAGCCCACCTCTCCAGTACTTTACCCAATGCTCCAGTACTTTTCCCCCAATATTCAGTTGATTGACATGTTCAGTTGGAATTTCAAAAAGATATAACTTTCTTCAAATAAATTATATATTGCCTCTTCGATATACTTAAACACATTTTTTTTTTAAATCCACAAAATTTACTTTTAATTTTAATTGAAAATTAGGAAAGAGTTTTTTTTCTAAAACTAGTAGCCAAGATTTAAAAAAAAAAAAAGTTAAATGAATTGGGATGATCATCGAAATTCTAATTCCCATGAAAGAGATGGTTTTCTTTAAGCTTTCTACAGGATTCGCATCGAAAAGTAAGTTAAAGCTTGAAAATACCTGAAAATAGCTTGGGAGGGTGGTTTATTATTTTGATATTAGAAAGAGAAAGGCAGTCGGCAATTTAATAAACTAAAGTTAAACATTTAAAAAAATCCTCATTTAGGAAACAATGTTACAAGTGTGGTGCATCGAAAGAAAATTTGAACGCGTTCGCTTTAGTAATAATTGGTGAGACGTGCACTATTTAAAATAATCTGGAAATGTTTCATCCGGTCTCCGTCAGCCGTGTTTTCAGGCACCGATCTATGGCTCTATCATTTCAACCAATGCATTCACATGTTGTGGATTATCTCTAACAGAATGACATTTTTTAAATTCCACAGGCTCGGCTTACGTCATATCCTCAGATGTTTTGACCTCAATGCTAAGTGTTTCCAAACAAGTCAAGAGGGTGTACACTGACGATCAGTACAGTGACCCGATTACAGCAGACTCCTACATCACAGGATATCTGCAGACAATAATCGGCTATACCGTCTTGGTCCTCGAGGACTTCTTCGCGTCAGCCGACGATAAAGTCACGGCCATCTGTGACGTCATCGAAGACCGGAAGATCTTAGGGAAAGTTACCTCCGTCCCTGACATGTACAGAATATGGTGGGGATTTTTCCGGTTTTACGCCAAATGTGGGAATGAAGACGCCCCTGAGAAGGTCAAATAACCCTGTAGCAAACCTGGGACTGAGTTTTTTTTTTTGGATAACGACAATGGTTCTTGATTCTTCTTCAATGATTGACAAGCGTCATTTGTTGGGTGATTGACCTAAATCCGCTACAGTTACATTTACAACTGCATATTTAGAGCACATTGGACTAACGCAGTCAAATAAAATGATTTTTAAGATCTACCTACCAGATTTGTCAAAATGCATAGACCAGGTAGATTAATTTCCGATGCCGCAGTTTAATTATTTTTCACTTATGGTGAGAATTTTTGTTTGATGCTGAAATTTTTCTCTTCCTTTTATTGGATCTAAATTCTATTATTCCTTTTTAAAGCGTTACGATTAAACATTGTGTTACAAACATCCATTTAGTCTGTTGGATTTGTAATAATTTTGTCTTGACTTCACATATAATCTCACCATGTTAATCCCCATATTATAATCTTTCCAGAAGTTCGATAACCTTGAAAATGTATAAATCGACTTAAGTGGCCCTGACTTGTCTCCCGCTCATCGTAGTAGTATCTTAGATTCTAGAGGGCACTAAAACAGTGGTTCTCAATCATCCCTCCTGATATTCTTTTAAAGACTTAAGGGTTCTATGTGTGCATCTCTTTGGAAATGTGTTTAATTCAATTAAATTACAACGTGGAAACAGATTATATTAAATTCTTGAACATACCTCATAATCTTCACAGACAAAAGGAAATTTATAGATTAGGGAAAGTTGTAAAATGTGTATGTAATCAAAGGTTTAAACGTAAGCCCCTTCCCCCAACAACCGTTTTTGTTTTTCATCATAAAAATATGGACTACGGCCTAGCCCCCCCCCCCAATCCACACAAATTCTTAGGGCATGGTCACACTGGGTGATTCCCTGAACTCAGGAGTACTAAAGAAGTGATGTCAGGGGTACTATAAAGAAGTGATGTCAGGGGTATTAAAGAAGTGATTTCATGGGTACTAAAGAAGTGATGTCAGGGGTACTAAAGAAGTGATTTCCTGGGTACTAAAGAAGTGATGTCAGGGGTACTAAACAAGTGATGTCAGGGGTACTATTGAAGTGATGTCAGGGCTACTAATGAAGTGATGTCAGGGGTACTAATGAAGTGATGTCAGGGGTACTAATGAAGTGATGTCAGGGGTACTAATGGAGTCATGTCAGGGGTTCTAATGAAGTGATGTGTAGAGTAATAAAGATGTGATGTCCAGGGTACTAATGAATCGATGTCAAGGATACTAATGAAGTGATGTCAGGGATACAAAAGAAGTTATGTCAGGGGTACTAATGCAGTGATGTCAGGGGTACTAATGAAGTGCTGTCAAGAGTACTAATGAAGTGATATCAGAGGTACTAATGAAGTTACGTCCGGGGTAGTAATGAAGTGATTTCAGTGGTACTAAAGAAGTGATGTCAGGGGTAGTAGTGAAATGATGTCACAAAAAAGAAAGCACGTTAGAAGAAAGGAAAATATATGTATTAAAACTATGAACAGAATTGAATTGTTTCTTAAATGCTTCCTATTTCTATTTGCAGGCTGCTTTTCTTTTCTTTTCTCTTTTTTTTTTGTGTGTGTTTTGTTGTGTTTTTTTTTTTAAAATATTTTTTAAAATTTTTTTTGCGTGCGCACCCTTACGGATATTCCCGAATGATTCTTTTCCTTTTTTTTTTTTGTGTGTGTTTTGTTGTGTTTTTTTTTTTAAAATATTTTTTAAAATTTTTTTTGCGTGCGCACCCTTACGGATATTCCCGAATGCAAAGAAAGTCTAAAATTTCTCAAAAGCTTCGCTTTATTTCCTTCTTTTTTTTTTTAGAGAGTTCGATTTTTGTTTAATAAACGATGGTACGTAAAATTGGTTTCTCTCTTGTGAAGTCGGAAACCATCGCCATCAGAATAACAGTAGCCAAACATAACCACTTAAGTATTATTTAATGTTAATGGGGGACTTAAGAAATTTATGGTTAGCGAATTTATTCTTAATGAGTACTCGATTTCGTATTTCTATGAACCTAGGCGCTAGCAAGGAGAGCTTTCCTTGTGTCCTATTTACAGAACTAAAAGGAATTCAAACTATGGAATTTTTTGTTCAGTAAATGAAATAAACTTGCGTTCATTAACAATACAGCTAGCAGTGAATTGCATCGTGAATAGTCTAAATTTCAAAGTTTAAATGTCAAAGTGTAAACGTCAAAAAGGATTCGTTTACAGCGACAAAAGGGGATGCTTTTTTTACGTTCTGACTTTTCTATTAGGTGGCCGACAACACTCAATTTGAGAGACACTCAGTGATGATGAAATGATGGTCTTAGGCGTAACGTCAGCATACGAAAAAGAAAGGTTTCGCTTTAAAAAAAAGAAATTGTGCGTAAATCAATCAGCCTGATTTAAACAAAAATTTAAGGTAATATTCAAAGCGTACTGCCAACCCACCCCCCCAAACCATGTTCTGGTGCTGCAAAATCTCTTGATGTAAGAGTTAGGAACTTATAGACCGCAAGACTGTCCATTTTCATGAGCTTCATTTAAAAAAAAAATAAAAAAATATGTGTTTTCCTCTAAGATAGTGGTTAATTTAACTTTGTTAAAGTAAGAGATTACGAAGAAATCTGTAACCCGCAACCCCCTTCTGGTTCTTTCTAGATTAATTCCTGTTTATAAGACTAGCCCAGCGTGAGACAAGCTGTAACTTTTTTTACATCCAAAAAACATTCATTTTATTCCGGCATGTCTTTGTGTCCTCCATAATGCGGCATCGAATCAAGAGCGACAAAAAAGAAAGAATTACTTTACTTTAATTCCTTCAGGAAATCTCATTGCGGCCCAAATGAGGATTCGGATATCCCGGGGCTCAATTCAAATCCCAGTTAAGATCTTCTTCGCCGGGCTGGTCATCTCGTTCCTGGTGATTCTGGTGTGTGTACCGAAGATCACCTGGCAGGAATCCAGATGTAGGAAACTGCCCCCCAACAAACCAAGCCGACCGAGAACACAACGGGCTCACCACCCAGGATGCTCTAGAGATCCCGATTACGTCACTTATAAATCTTGCCCAGGCTGCTTTAGGGCGAGCGTGAAGGAAATTTCTGAGAAACTGACGTTGGTTGACACGGGCGTAAGAACTATACCTCGCGGAACGCCCCATTTTTTCGCACCGAAAGAGACGCCCCAGCAGGAGCTGGTCAACGACGTGCTCCTAGCTCCGTGGTCAGTCTGCGCGGACACATGTCCCTACATGGTGGCCGTGCAGCTGTCCCTTGCCCACATGGCCAAAGAACGGAACCTCGTTCGGGCAACATGGGCAAGCGTGGCGAAAACTCACGTGTGGCCACACTCCCAAGTCAATGCAGATTTTAAAATCATTTTCGTCATAGCCCGGGAGATCTCCAATAGGACGACAAGCGAAGGGCCCCCGGGCGGTAGGACTAAAAATTTCCATCAAGATGGCACGCCAGAACATCCGGCTGTTGGTTCATCCAAACGTACCCCGTCATTGTGGAGTCTAGTGAAGGCTGAGGCTGATAAATTTGGTGACATCCTCTTTCTGGGTATGGACGATTCTTATTACAATTTGACCTTAAAGGTGTTGTCTGGTTTTCTGTGGGTGTCCAACTACTGCAGGGGGTCAAAGTTTATCCTCAAAGTTGACACGGACACGTTCGTCCACCTAGCTCTGTTGATCGACCTGCTCATTCACAACGAACATCGTCTGAACTACTCGATAGTGGGTCATGTTTATGAACGGGCCAACGTGGTCATGCGTTCTGACCGCTGGGCGGTCGGTCAAGATGTTTATCCCATCGCCATGTATCCCGCTTACACAGCTGGTAAGTACATCCATGGGTTCATTTTTGGTAAGTATATTTATGGGATCGTTGCTGATAAGTGCATTAGTGGGGTCGGTGCTGGTACGTACATTGATGGTGTCTTTGTTGGTAAGTACATCCATGCAGTCGGAGCGGGACATTTGTTTAATTTAACGACATCTATACCTCCCTTTTCTGATCATCTCTTTTCTGACCATCTCTTTTCTGACCATCTCTTGCTGACCGTCTCTTTGCTGACCATCTCTCTGCTGACCACATCTTTTCTGATCATCTCTTGTTGACCGTCTCTTAGCTGACCATGTCTTTTCCGACCATCTCTTTTTAACCATCTCTTTGCTGACAATCTCTTTGCTGACCATTTATTTTATGACCATCTCTTTACTGACCATCTCTTTGCTGATCATCTCTTCGCTAACCATCTCTTTTCTGACCACCTCTTTGCTGACCGTTTGTTTGCTGACAGTTTCATTGGAGAAACTGTTGCACTGACCCGAGAGTTGCAAAGTCAGCTATTTCATTTTTTTCCCCTAAACTTCTGTTTAAATATTACAAAACCCTAATGGGTACGATTTCAGCTTGTTGTATCTGGTGGCGTGTCCCTTATTATCAGATAGGTCGGCGTTGTGGCGCAACTGAGGATGTCAAAACGATATTCCAACGATTCTCAAAATGGAGCACCCATGTTACTGACTCTTCATTTTCATGAACTTCATTTACCCTTAATTATTGTTGATTGAAAAATGAAATTATTGAAATCTAATTTCAGGATGTGCCTACATCGTCTCAATGAACGCGCTAAATATGATCGTTGCCCTGGCACCCTATGTGCCCATGTTGCCCATAGAGGACGCTCACGTGACCGGAATCATGGCGCACGAGGTCAAGGCCGAGCTGTACACCCACCGGGAGCTGTTCACTTACTTCGAGGACGACTCGTGGCAGCGCTGTGACGTGCTGTGGGACGCCAAGGTCGTGGGGACCCTCTCGGGCGGGGACAGAGCGCTGGACATTTGGTCGGCCCTGCTGGTCAACAACAAGACCTGCGTCGGTGACTACGTGTGGAACGTGACTGACCGGTTCTATCCTTTGTTAGGTGGTCTCCCCTAATCGGACTTATTGTGACGAAATAAAAGTGTAAAGACGGAATTTGTTTAAAGAAATTAAATTGATATGATATGAAAGATATGTTTAAATGATACAAAAAGATATCTTTATGTGTTATGAAAGATATATGCTATGAACGATATTTTATATAATATGAAAGATATATTTTTACGATTTGAAAGATATGTTTATATAAGAAAAAAGATATGTTTATGATATGAAAGATATGATTATATGATATGAAATACATGTTTATCTGATATTAAAGATATAATCATATGCTATGAAAGATATGTTTATGATATAAAATATTTGTTTATATCATATGGAAGATATGTTTATATGCAATTAAAGATATGTTTATTTGATATGAAATATATGTATGTATGACATAAAATATATCTTTATATGATATGAAAGATATGATTATATTCTATGAATCTATGAAAGATATTTTATATGGTATGAAAGATATATTTTTACGATATGAAAGATATGTTTATATGAGATAAAAGATATGTTTATGATATGAAAGATATGATTACATGATATGAAATATATGTTTATATGATATTAAAGATATGCTTATATCATATGAAAGATATGTTTATATGATATTAAAGATATGCTTATATCATATGAAAGATATGTTTATATGATATTAAAGATATGTTTATATCATATGAAAGATGTGTTGATATCATATGAAAGATATTTTTTTAGTATAAAGACGGTGACATCCTTTGGCCAGGGCAGGGGATGCATTCCCCCCCCCCCCCCCCCCCCCCCCCCCCCCCCCCCCCCCCCCCGCCGACTGAATTTTCAGTTTTTTTTTTTTAAATTGCTATGTACCGTGGCGCCTCCAGTAATTAACAACTCAACAAGCCGGTCAAGCTTTGGTTTTGCCCCAAGTTTTTGGTTTTGCCCACCCCCTCTCTACCATACCTGAAAAAACCTGAAAAGACGTTACCGTTTAAAGACATAATTTATTTTCGAGGAATTATAATTATTTGATAGGAAAGCTATTAATGGCGTCAGTATCCATTTAAGCTGCGATCGATAATTGCTTGTGATGCAGATGAGTACAAAAATGTTTGCAGAACGTTGGCAAAAGAAATGATGTCTTGTTGATGTGTTGTATTCAATCCCAGAAACAAATCAGTGTCTTGGCGTGTCGACACCTGGTATGAGTGTGTGTGCGCGCGCGCGCGCGCTTGTGTGTGTGTGTGTGGGGGGGGGGGGGGGGGCCCTTTCTTTTTTTTAAAACGGGGTGAAAAAAATAAAATTAATATAAAAAAAAATTTTTTTTTTTTTTTTTTTTTTTTTTTTTTTTTTTTTTTTTTTTTTTTTTTTTGCTTTTTTTTTTTTTCAATAAAAAAAAATATTTAACACTATACACTATATTTTTTATTATCAAAATCACAATATTTATCACAATTAATTTAATATCATAAACTTTAGCATTGGCATCACTGTTTAATTAAGTATGGCCATTTACAATGTTCGTTGGCACCACCGCGTAAAGGGTGTCATTTATAATGTTCATAACAGAGTTGACATGAACATAAGACAAGAGAAATATTCGAAGCATTGTGAAGATTTTTTTATATTGTTAAAAGTATATAAAATCTTGAACAAACAATAGTGTCACTAGGTAAGCATACATGATGATTACATCTAGAGAGAAAAAAAAAGTGATATTTATCAGTAAAACAATGACATTTAATTTCGATGAAAAAAAAGTGATATTTAATCCCGAGGAAAAACATTACATTTAATCTATAGAAAAACATGTGATATTTAATCTGTATAAAATTATATGATATTTAATATGTAGAAAAAACATAGGATATTTAACCTGTAGAAAAACATACGATATTTAATCTGTAAAAACATATATTTAATCCTTAGAAAAAACATAAGATATTTAATCTTAACCGAAACGGACGAGAAAAGCACACAGAACCAAGGTAAGACAACTCGTGTACACAACTGTACCACCGTTACACGCCACGGACAGCAACGTCTCGTAGTCGGCCACGGGGCAGGCCCCGTCTCTGACCAGACAGTTGTAGGCGGTGAGATCTCCTATCGATGTCTTCATGAGTTCACAGGCCTCGGTCAGTGAAGGGTCAGCAGCCTGGGCCTCATCTCTGCAGGCGTACACTGTCTCTTGACACGCCTGGCTGTGTTTGGCGATTTCCGCGTCAAAGTCGAGCGTGGCCGGTGTTGCTAAAGTCAGAAGCAGACAGAAGACTCCCATTGCTAGAATTGCATTGTGCGCCATTTTTCTCTATTAAGGGTTCGTCTCCGGAAGTCTAGATGATGAAAAAGTGTGTGTGTGTGGGGGGGGGGGGGGAGGGGGGAATACAACAAAACAAGAAGTAGTAAAAAAAAAAGCCAAAAAAAACTAATATACATTTAAATAAAAGGATAAAAAAATTAGGGCTACCAAAATTAACAAATAAACACAAACATACATAAACATCTCTGTTTCAAATAATGCTTGTAGACCAAGGGCGGCAAAACATTTTGTGCAGAGGGCCGCTCGGAAATAAAAACAATTTTTGGGTCGGACCGCAATCAGAATTTTCTAGAAATTCTAGACAATAAATTGAACTTTTAAAGAATAAAAAATAATTGAAGTGTGATTTCAACTGACACATTAGTTCTAGACCATAGAGTTCTGGACGAAAAAAAGGACAGTGGATTAAATTTTTCATTGGTTCACGACTATTATCATTTTAGTTTGCCATTTTACAGTCCCTGAAGGTCTTGCAGGCAGGATCAAACACGTCAGAGGGCCTTATGTCACCCACGGGTCGATGGTTTGCCCACGCCCTATCATACATGTCAAGATCAGAGTTTCTCAAACTTTCTGTGTACCCCTGTCTATAATTTTAGTAACACATAGCCTCCCCCACTCCTCGTTAAATATAACAACTTTATATTAGAGACCGACCCAATTTCGGCTTCGGATTCGGTTTCGGCGCCGAAAGTGGCCATTTGATCACTTACGGTCTAATTTCGGTTTCGGGTGAAACCAGAAAATCACTTTCGGTCGGTCTCTACTACATATACCTCAATAACAATAAAGAAATATTTATTTTTCCATTGCAGCAAACTCTTCCCGTAACCCCAAGGGGTACGCGTAGCCCACTTTGGGAAACATTGATCTTGATCATTTAACGACACATCAGTTGGTGATCTTTTATAGCAAGGAATTACAACTTAAATTCTGAAAGGCTTATTCAGATCTTCTTTTTTTGCAAAAAATATTAAACCATATCTTCTTTCGTTTGATACTTTAAAAAAAAAAAAACCACACTATCATATACACATAAATTTGTATGCAAGATCTTAGCACTCACCTTTTAAAATATGAATTAGGATAACTTTACCGTGTTCTGTGCTTGCTAACGTACTGTGATATGAATTGCGCCGTAGTTTGCTTCCCCAGTCAGCTATAAACCGTGCCACGTAAGAGTCAGGTATAGACACAAAAGATTCCCAATCAGGTATAACTTTAAGTTATTCAAAGAAACAACTCCCACACAGACGCCACTGTCAGGTTGTGTAGTGACGTCTCTCGGCAGTGGATGTCGCAAGAAATGTATTGCACACAATCAGATCAACCCGCAGATATAATCTAATTATACATATATATCAATGCTACAAATACAATGTACATCAAACAAGTGCCCCATAAAAAAAAAAATGTTAAAAAAATACCCGCATGTTTGAGTGATCGTATCCGGAAATTGGTTCGAAAGAAATTTTTTCGACGGAAATCTATTCGAACTAAAATTTGGTAAACGGAGATATATTCATCTGCCTTTTCCGTTCGAACAATTTTCCGTCAGACAAATTTCTTTTCTAACAAATTTCCGATAACACATAGTGATATCTACGGCATTTTGATAAAACACAATAACTCCTGCAAGGGCGTATCAAGAGGTGTGGATGGAGTGAGCGGTCAGGCCTGGAGGGGGGGGCAGTTATTTTGGGGCGGCATGGTCGGTCCACTTCATAAAGTTTAAAAGAGATTTTTTCAAAATAGTGTAAAAGATGCATTGTAGTTTTTTCTTAATAATTAGGGGCGAAAAAGACAAGGAACGCCCCAGGCGTCACAAACTCTAGCTACTCCCCTGTACCCATGCGACAAACAACAAACTCTAGCTACTCCACTGCACCCATGTGACAAACCACAAACTCTTGCTACTCCCCTGCACCCATGTGACAAACAACAAACTCTAGCTACTCCCCTGCACCCATGTGACAAACAACAAACTCTAGCTACTGCTGCGCACCCATGGGACAAACAACAAACTCTAGCTACTACCCTGCACCCATGTGACAAACAAAAAACTCTTGCTACTCCCCTGCACCCATGGGACAAACAACAAACTCTAGCTACTCCCCTGCACCCATGTGACAAACAACAAACTCTAGCTGCTCCCCTGCACCCATGTGACAAACTACAAACTCTAGCTACTCCCCTGCACCCATGGGACAAACAACAAACTCTAGCTACTCCCCTGCACCCATGTGACAAACAACAAACTCTAGCTACTCCCCTGCACCCATGTGACAAACTACAAACTCTAGCTACTCCCCTGCACCCATGTGACAAACAACAAACTCTAGCTACTCCCTTGCACCCATGTGACAAACTACAAACTCTAGCTACTCCCCTGCACCCATGTGACAAACAACAAACTCTAGCTACTCCCCTGCACCCATGTGACCAACAAAAACATAATACAATTTTCTTATCGATAGATTTGTACAAAAGAATAGCTTTAAAACTGTGAGGCGATAGGCTGGTCTCGGTCAACTGCAACATACATTTCGCCATGAACGACTGGTGAACGGGGGCAGTGGTACAA